ATCCCACAAAGTACCTATCAGCTAAGGCTTTTACCACTACCCCCACAGTATAAAGTATCCTGGTTTTCCCTCAATAATCAAAGCTGGATCACTAAGGCCTGGAATCAAGCTGAGTCACAGAATAAAGGAGCTGTACCACTGACTGAGCTGAGTTCTGTGTCTTACTGCCTACAATCCAGCCTTCCCGGAGAGGGCTGTCTCTTCGTAAGCCACGACTCACGGAAACCCAGTTTTCGCCGTCTCCACACCTTCCCACACGATCCGGCAGCTGACGGATCTCGTATCTCGAGGAAGTGCACCGTGGATTGGGAGGGAACCGACCAGGCCAGCCCGGGTAGCAGAGAGCCTCAACAACGTGGAGAAGCAGGGACCCGCCTGGGAGCGCAGCGATCAGTAGAGTCTCCAGCACCCAGTAGTCACGGAGACCCACAGCAACGTGGTGCGTGACCCGCACCACCGCACTCCAGTGACATGTGGGAGACCGGCGCCATGCCCAGCAGCTGGCACCCCGAGATCCCCGCACACCCATATGTATATATCACACAGAACATCCCAAACCATCTTATTCATCTATATACCCACTTCCCAGATGGCACCCTCCCATAGCCTCCCCAGCAGACCCATAGTTCAGTGTATAGAACAACCAACTGTTATCTTCAGTTGGTCCCCTATGATATCTGATATGTCTGAGTTCTAAGGTTTGTAGTACAGTTTCTCCAGTGAACAAACTGCCTGTGTTCTGTGGTGGTGAATGGGGGGAGATTATTTCCTAGTGGGGCAGGGGATCTCAGGGCAGAAGTCCCCACAGGCTGACTGAGCTTGTCTCGGTACTGTCAGCTCATGCCTCCCTCTTGTCCACAGTTCTGGTGCCTACAGGGGCCAGGGCCAGACTTCCTGTTTCCCAACTTCCTGTTGGGCAAATTGGCCCACTTTATAACAATACTTCTGTAGATTTATAATGTTTTCTCTCTGTCCCTATCTGCTTCCTTTTTAATTAAATTCTGAAATATTTAAAACTATCAATGATAGAAAATTGTAAGAATAAGGTGTGTGCAATCCCAACACTTGAGAGAATGGGGCGAGAAGTTTGTGAAATAGGGGCTAGCCTGGGCTAGTTAGGGATCCCTCCCCATCTCAAAACCAACCAACCAATCAAATAAAAATTATAACCAATCACTTCTATACCCACTGTCCGATTGAAAAATTCAAATATTACAAATAGAGAAACGGAGGCCTGTGGGTTATGTTTCCCAATTTCGCATATTTTCTCTCTCAAAACAATGGGTTGACACCATCAATCTGTTAATTTATTAAGCTTGAATTTGAGGCAGATGAAGGATTCACTTCTTGAGTACTTGGCAGGTGTTAAGCGCTGTTAAAGCACTGTTAAAATCTGTTACGATAATGGTTAATGTTAATGATATGTTCTATAAGTTTATAGAGCAAGCACACATGGTGAATAGGAAAATTCTGATTTCCTGATTAAATGCTGCTGGACTCTCCCTTGCTGCTCTGAGCAGAAGGTCTGTGAGTCTAACAGCCATTTGGACTACTCTTATATGCCAGCATCCGCCATCTTACGAACTCCATGGATACCTTGGGACAGCTATGCAAAGATTGCAGCTGATTGCCCTGGATCTTAAAGGCACAGCCCCAGTCAGGGATGCTTAAAACAGCTTGTGCCAGACCTTTTGTTACCAGAAGCTTCCATGAACTCTAGATGACTTTGCCATCATTTCTACTTTGGCTAGAGGGAGAGTGCTTCCTGTGGTAGAAGAACTAATTACTGTGGATGATGCTAAGAGGCAAAGCCATACTTGGCTCAAAACACAAGCCTCAACGATGGTGATTGGTGCTACGAGTCAGGGTTCTGATTCACCCAAACAAATGGCTGTG